TGGCACTATGCAAGGGCCACTGGGAGGAGAACCAGATGCCAGCCCTTTCCTGTGAGTCAGCACCATCTGTGGACTGTAGGGTAGGAGAACAAGAAGCCAACAAGGAGTCAAGACTTCCTGTGAGTTGGTGCCATGTGTGGGCCACCAGGAGAAAAACCAGATGCCAGGTGTTTCTAGCACATGGGCTGAGAGGCAAGAAGAGCCAACATGTCTTTCCCCCTAATCCCCATGAGCAACCAGCTGATCTGCAGAAACAGAGGCTGAGAGGATAGCTATTGAGGTAAAATATAACTTAGTACTTGTAGCGTCTACTATTTCACTGCCTTTGCAGGCCTAAAGCTGGTAGTCTGATCATGTATTTAGAGAATAACAATTTGCAATGCAGCACCTATGGGAATGTTCTGAAGGTAGTAGCCATTGTTAATTCCCTATTATCTTGTTTTGAAGTCCAGTATCATGTTTATTATTTTACTTGGTTGGCTTTTATTCTCTTCTGTCTTGTTTGATTTAATTATATCAGATGGCATGGGCAACAATTTCAAAGATAACAAGCTATATTATGGCAGCCATTTTGAATTTACTATTATCTTATTTTGAAGTCTTATTTGGATTCTTTTTTTGGTTTGTTTGTTTTTACTGGTTGTAGTTTGTTCTGTTTTCTTGATTTTACTATGTCTGAAGGTATGGGCATCTATTTTGAAGACAACAAGAGGCATTGTGGTAACCAGTGTTGATTTCCTATTATCTTGTTTTGAAATCCTGATTCATACTGTTTTGCTTTGACTGGTTTTATTCTGTTTTATTTTTCTTGGTTTTATTCTCTTTAAAATAAAAATTACAAAGAAAAAATTTTAAAAACTTCTGCTCATCAGCAATATAAGAATAAAATGGCAGGCTGCAGACTGGGAGATATTTCTAGTATGCTTATTTGAAAATGACTGAAATACCGTGTATAGGGAAAACACTTTTAGAAATTGTATGAGTTAGTGCTTATTAGAGAATCAGATTTAATGCAAGATATAAAAATATATAAGAATTTACAAGATTGGATTACAATGGCTGCCCACAGAGTCAGGTGTGGAAGAGTGCAAAAGTTTGTATGTACGCAAGAGTTTCAAAAGATCCAGTGGAAGGCCTAGAGCTCAGTGTACTGTTCCATGTGAGTCTTTATCAGGAGGCTGAAAGGCCTGTGCTGGAAGGCTGAAGGGCCTGTACCAGAGGCTCAAGAGTCTGCACTAGATAGCACACTCAAGGTGAAAGTAAAGACTGGATCTCCTTCAAAGAAACAGAAATGAGCTTCCTTCTTCATTTCCCTTTTAAACCATCTGGAGACAATCCTCCCTAAGGTGGGTCTTCCACACACAGAACTATGCTGATCCAATTTAGTTGGGTATTTATTACTCAAATTGACACACTCAGGTAACTACCACAGAAACGTAATAGAAGTCCAGTCATTTAAAAATAAGCAAAATAAGTTTTTTACATAAAAGTGATTCTCTACCCAAAAGGTATAAGAACAGATAGTAATACCATTACTCATTGGGAAAACACAAATTAAACCCATGAGGAGATATCTCTCTTCACCTCCAGATTCTGAGTATTTGTGTCTTTTTCTGCCTCAAATTCATTTCTTGAAATCCTAACCCTGCATTAAGAGACAGGGCCATTGACACGAGACTAGATCAAGAGGGATCTGTATTCTTCGTGATGCTAGTACTCTCACATAAAACAGATGGAAGTGTCCACAGAAAATATTACAAGGAATCATCAACTGAAATGTCATCATTTTACACAGATTTTGCATAGCAAAAGAAATCACCAACAGGGCGAAAAGACACACACAGATTGGGAAAAAGTTTCACCAGCTATTCCTCAAAGGACTAATATCTAGAATATATAAAGAACTCAAAAACCCAGACATCTCAAATTTAAAGACTCAACTCAAAGATGGGTATCTGAAATGAATAAACTTCTTAAATGAAGAAGTACAAACAGCAAATAAATATAAAAATAATTTTCATCATCACTAGTCATTTGAGAACACAGAACAACACTGTGAACAATACTGAGATTTTGTGTTATTTCAGAGAGAATGGCTACCATCAAGAAATCAACCAATAACAAATTCTGGTGAGACTGCGGGGGAGGGGAACTCTTTTCTACTGTTAATGGGAGTGTAAATTGGTACAACCAAAAAGGAAATCAGTATAGAGTTTCCTCAAAAACTAGGACTAGGGCTTTTCTTTGTTTCCCCTTCTTGGTATCTTCCTATAAAGCATCAACCACCACAATGTATGCATACCCATGTTTACAGCAGCACAGCTTATAATACATAAATCTTGGGATTTACCCCACATGCCCATCAGTGGATTAATGGATAAAGGAAACATGGTTTTTATATACAACAGAGTATTACTCTGTCACAAAGAAGGATAAACTTGAGACATTTTTAGTAAATGGATGCAATTTCAGGCCACATTTTAAGTGAAATAAATTGACACATAATTCTAAATATTCCACTGTTTCTCTTGTGTTGCAAATTGAGAGAATAAAATAAAGACCAAAATGGTTGATAGATATTGGGAATAGGAAGAAAATATTCAAATGGGAAGGAGAACAAGGTAGACAGGAGGGTGAGGGAAGGAAGAGAAAAGGAAAAAGAGAATAAAAGAACAAAATATAAACAAAGCTTTCATAAGTAAGGAGACAAAGGGTTGAAGGAAAGGAAGGAGAATGGAGAAAAAAGAAGAATTAATATATATTATGTTAAAAAATGGATAGGTACAAATTCCCTATAATAAATGTGATCATTATGTAAATCAAAAGTGTTCCAATAAAATTAAGTTTTAAAAAAAGAGGCAGGAGGCGGCCTGTTTGTCCTTCCAATGTTGTGGCTTGGAATAACTGATACCATCTTGTGCCATGTATTTGACCCAGAAGAGTGGAAAACTACTAGGGTGCAAGTCCCTTGAGAAAAGCATAATGAGCTGAACACACAAGAGAGAAAATTAAATCTACTCAACAAAGTCAGGATAAAGTTGTCAACCAAAACTAGTGTAAGATTCTAGCTAAATTGTTTCCAACAGAATGCCTTGCTTTGTAGTTTTCAATTTTAAATGCCCTGTAGCCTTCCTGCTTGGGCCACTCATTTTGATTCTGAAAAAGGCATCCAAGTGTAGGCGCTGAGCTCAGCTAATCAAATCCCAAACTTTATCAATTCGGCTACTTGGATTTCTTTATTGATTATGAACTCACTTCACCATCACTGAGTATACCTAGAAGTCATCATCTATGAATAAAGAGGGTACCCTTAACAGACCAAATCTGTTGACAACTTGAATTCGGATTTTTTATCTTCTGGGCCTCTGAGCAATAAATTTCTCTGATTTATAAGCTACCCAGTTTAAAGTGTTTTGTTACAGCAGCCTGAACAGACTAAGATATGCTGCACCACAATGGACAAAAATTATAGAGATTGCTTTAAGTGGTGACAGAATGTATACTCTTGTTGCTGATTCAAAGGTAAAATAGTATGACTATCTAGAAAACTGACAGCCTCTAATAAAGCTAATTATTATCTACCCCATGACTCAGCAATTCTTCTAAAAAGTAAACCCTTAAGAAGAAAAATGTGTGCATGCAATCATGCAAGTACTTTATGCCAGCTTTGTTTACAACAAGCAAACTGCAAATAAATCGACTGTTCACAAACAAGGATGTGTTCACACACAGGAACAACATCAGTAACACCAAAATAGGCTGGGCTTTGTGGCACTTGCCTATAATCCCAGCACTCAGGTGGCTGAGGTAGGAGGATGGTCTTGAGCTTGAGGCAAGTCTGGGCTACCTAATAAGTTCAAAGTTCAGAACTCATACTGGACATATAGGAGTTTGGGAGACTCTATCAGTGACACTTGTCAACATTCATCCCTCTGTGCACTGAATGAGAATTATGTGTTAATAATGTACCAGTGTGAGCCATGCATGCCTATAATCCCAGCACTTGAGAGGCTGAGGCAAGAGGATTGCCAGGGGTTCGTGGCCAATCTGAACTGCATAGTGAGACCTGGTGTCAATCCAAAGAAGTACTAGTGTTACAAACATTGGAAAGGGATGGGTTGGAGGATAGCACTAGCTTTAGGTTTTATTGCATATTAGGTTTTATTCTATTAAAAGTCACTGTAAAATACTCTACCAAGCTTATAAAAAAGCTCCCAACTGGTTCACCTCCAGTAAACAGTGCTTACAGTTATTACCCCATCACAATAATGGAAGCTGCTGGAATATAGGCCTGGTACCTTGGCGGGTGTTTACTGGGCATGGAGGGCAATGAGGTGTCTGTTGGTCGGTCTGAAGTTTCTGAGACTGGGCGCTAGGTGGTGCTCTGCGGAGTTTCCACCTGAACTCACTGTGGGGAGCCAGGGTAAAACTTGGCTCTCCAACTGCAGAAACTGGGCGCAATGGGTGCAGGGTTTAAAAAGTGAAGCTAAAACACAGCAAATCTTGGCAAGCAATAAACTAGCTAAACGTGCCATAACACTGCTGACTGGGGAGCATCTCCTTTAATATTTTTTATGTGAAAATATTCTCAATATTTACCTGCTTTGTTTTCGGGATGGCTAAAGTTCTTGCATTTTTCTTTCATAAAACAATTCTCAGTCCTCAGGATAGTCAGCCAGCCAAGTGCGCCTGCATGTTTCCGGGTCGGTCGCGCTGTCTGGTCCTAAATTCAACCTGGCTTCTGTTCCTTTTATCTTCCTGGTTACAGTTTGGCCCTGCTTGCTGCTGTTCCAGCCTGGAATCACACAGACCCCTGGAAAGCAATCTGACCGAGTGCCCAGAGCTAACACTGTGCCTTAGCGTACAGCGCCCTGTGTGACCTGTCCCAAAGGACGCGGGGCCAGAGTGGGGGTAGGAAGTATAAAATCTTTGTAAGATGGATTTCCTTTTCACAAAACCTTACATCTGCTACCTGTCAATATAGTAGCCAACAGTCAATCATGGATCAGGTAATGCGGTTTGTTGAGCTAAGGCGGCAGCTTGAGAAGTACTCCATTCGACTGGTTAAAACATGCACCAAATCAGACAGAAAAGAATTCCGGAAGGTTGCCGAGTCAACAGCAACAGGATTTGCTATCAAGGGATTTATGAGCTTCTTTGTGAAATTGACCCACATCCCTATTAACAACATTCTTGTGGATGGCTGATCGTTTTGGAAGGGAGTTTTTCTTCTTGACATCTTAGGGGTTGGAGAAGCTCATGAGGTGAAAATTTTCATTTGTGCTTTTCTTTTTTCTCTTCCCCCTTTTAAAATGTTTCCTATTTGTAAATTAAAATAATTTCAAAAATAAACCCTTTCATCCACAGTATCTTCCACTCAGAATTCTCCGAAGAAGTAGCTTAAGGATGGCAATGCGTGGAAATAAAGGAAGATCAGCTAGGTCAGAAAAACAAAGCAATGTATACTGGGCTTGACGGTGAGGAAGTAGGCACCTGTGCTTGCATTTGACAGAGTAATGCAGATGGAAGCAGGAAAGCTTTCTAATAGAAAAACAGGAGGCTTCAGATGTGCCTTGTTAAATGCTGTGAGGTGAGGACACTATAGTTGAGCTAATTCTGGGCTCAACCCCCACTACTGGTAAACAAAGTGGGGTATTCCATGCCTTTAGTTAGGGTGCACAGTTGGCATTTCCTGGTTGTTTCTAAATGGCAAGGAGGACAAAGGGTGCTGTGTCAGTTATTCATCAAGTTCTGGCTATTTTGAGTTGCTTGTTAGGGAAGTTCTTAACTTCCCTGAATCAATCTCTCTATGTTTCTGTGTCTGTCTGTCTGTCTGTCTGTCTGTCTGTCTCTCTCTCTCTCTCTCACATTAGATAACTGTCTGACTTCATACAAGTGTGATTTACAGCAGGCTAGCTTCTTCAGTTGTTCATTATAGATAAGGGGTTGTAGACCTTGGCTCAGAGTTCTCTTGTTTATACATGGTCTGAATAGTGTATTCAGCCTTTGAAATATACTAATTCAGCACATCCTAACCCAGCGCCCTGGACATTCAGCCTCCCTTAGGCACTTCTCACTCAAATGTGGGTCTGGGACCAAGCTTCTCTGGGGTCTGCAGGTTCTGACACAAAAGTCAAGACATTTAGGCATCACTCCACATAAGAATGGGACCAACAGCTCAACTGTCTCTGTAATTGCTTGGGTTAAATTTTCAAGGCCTTGGAGTTTTTCCAGTTGCCTTGCAAAACATGGTGGTACTGGCGTACACTTAGGGAGAGCATACTGGCCATTAGAATGATAAGGAGCTGGCAGCAGTGTCCCTGTGGTGCAGTTGGTTTGCACATTTGGCTGTTAATGGAAAGATTGGTGGTTTGAGCCCACTCAGGGATGGCAAGGAGTTTGGTCACTTCTTCAGTGGTTAAATCTAAAAAACACATCTTACTTAACCAGCTCTCATGATCTAGTGGTTACTTGTTATCCCCAACCTCCAACCATTACTGCCACCAGAGTGCTAGGGAAAAAGGTAGTGGAGGAGATAAGGAAGTCCTTGCAACAGGGAATGGGAAAATGCAGCGTAATCTAAGCACGACTTTAGGGTGTGAAGATATTATTAGTAGTATATAAGCATTAATACCTACAGGTTGTGTTTAGTTTTAGTAATTGCTCCATCTATATTATATTGTTAGTGGTAGAGAGTCAAGATCCTTATTATCTTCTGAATTATTTTTAATAAAGGTGTTTCTTCTTTTGTTGTACTATTATCTAACCCTTTATGTGTTGTTTTAGAAATTAATTTGGTTCCATGATTTTATAATTTCAAATAATGCTGCAGTTAGCATTGTCCTACAAGAATCTTTTGCCATCTGTAAAGCATTTTTATAGCGTGGAGCCCTGGAAGTGCTCCTGCCATATCATGATCATGTTTCCTTTTTTTTTTTTAACTTAAGTGATAAACCCTGTAAATTTGCCTTCCATAGGAGGGGTATCACTTTATGTTCCTATTTAGTTTTCAACTCAAAGAATCTTTTTCTTCTATTCTTGCTAGCACAACAAACTTGTATTATCTATGATATCCTAATATAGGAAGTACTGCTCTCCTGACTTAAGTGGAAGCCTTCTTTTATCCCTCATTAATACATTGTCAATTATTTTCTCCCATCAGTTACATCAATGTGGAATTATGGTTTTGATACTACTAAATGAACATCTGAAGATGATCTCTGTTGAGGAGTAGTTAACAGAGATCCAACTGGTATCTCTGGAAAGTACATGACCATTAAGCTAATCTATGTATCTTTGTTTGACTGGCTATTTGATCTAAATATTTTGGTATTTTCTGATATTTAACTATGCAGTCTTAAAAAGTGATTTTATTTGTTTAATAATAGATGAAATCCTGTAGGCTTAGTAGGTATCAGTTTCTGCAAAAGTGGAATGTGTATCAAAATGATCTCTATACATGATTCTCCCTTAAGAGCTCTGACTTCAATAAATTATTCTACCTAAAGGCAATCCTGGAACAGAAAGAAAACCGGATTCCTGGTGTCCAGTGATCTGCTATCTTCAGAGTCCCTAAATGATAGAATTGTCATGACCTACACAGTCAGCCAGGTCGTGCGTGAGGGTGACAGGAGAGTAAGAAAAACTCTAAACACACACTAAAAGGAAGCTGGGACTGTGTGGGACCTGACCTCTCTGATGGAGAGGCAGTGACAACCCAGCACAGTCTGTGTCTTTATTTATACACAGTCAAAAAAAGAAGAAGCACCCAGAGACCCAAAGTACAAGGTCTCAATGTTTTGCTGAGAACACTGGAAGTGAAACATTCTCAGAGCTATCTGTGCTATGGTTATTAGGGAAGAACACCAAGGCCAGACACCTACTGGACCAGCCTTGCTCTACTTCCAAGGAGTTTGCCTATCTTAAGCTCTGTCCTGGCTCAACCACTTCCCACATATAATAATTTTGCAATTTTTTTTGTTTTTTATTTTTGTAAAGGAATTTTTTATTATTTAAAGAAAGATAAACAAAATAGAAAATGGGCAGAAATAGTACATACTTTCAAAGAAAAAAAACAGTAATAAATCACTAGTTGATATATACATATTGTCCCCCCCCACAATAGTAGTTCAAGATACAAAAGTGGAACATATAAATGGGAATTCAACCAGGGAGACTGCAAACAGTTCTGTTCCACCATTCAACAAAAGTTAAGTAATACGTCTATCAATTCTATGCACTTAGACATGTACGCATTTATCCATATCTTCATTTATGTTGAGACCTAACAAAACTTTTAGATTAAAATTCTTCTGAACAAAGATTAATAATATTGCTGGATTTCACATCATAACACTCCAGAATAAGCACTGGGTACTGCAGTAACCCTTTCTTTCCTTCATAGTATTTGTTCATTTCATCATGTGTCATAAGATCAGTTCTCATAAAAACTGTTCATATGTTTTATGCAAGCATGAGTCTTAACATGTATTTCTATCCTTTCTATATTAGAAGGAGAAACAGAGCAAAGCAGGACAGAACTAAACATATTCCTATAGACACATAAAACTAAAAAGACATATAAAGTTGCTATATAAGGAGTTCTATCATGGTCACTGAGCTGTTTCTTGTTATCATCAACTGAACTCGCTATATCATCAGATAAAGTGTAGTTGAACATCTCAGTACATAACAGAATTAACAGAAATACAACTTTGTAGATAGTGTAGAGCTACAAAAACAGGTAGTAATCAAATCAGAAGGGATATCGTGGTGAATCATTGTCATTTTCAGTGTCATTGTCATTTCATTTCACTTGTATATATGTTCATATTTCAAACATGTGAGATTGAAAAATAACTTCTATTGACATTAGTTAAACACTGATGGCATCATTTTCCTGGACGTGTTTCCCTTGCTGGGGACTGCACACAGGGCCTGCTACATGTCAGGCAAGCGCTCATCCGTTGAGCCATATCCTCAGCCCCAAATATGCTTTCATGAAACTGAGTCGTTATATAGCCTCCCCCTTTTTTTTGGCAGGGGGAAGGTTTGGGAATCAAGCTCAGGAGCTCATGCTTAACAGGCAGGCAGAGAGCAGCTGAGCCATATATCCTGGGCCTTCTTTTGTTTTTAAATAGTGTAAGTACGCATGAAAAAGACATAAAAACAAAAATGAGAAAATTGCTGAATGTTCCATTGGAGTTACTCTTGCAAAAAGACTCTCTGAGACTAAAAAAATCCTTCATTATCTGCATTAAAATTTGGAAAAAATTACATTTCAATTTGGAATCTCTGTACGAGTGCCTTGTTCATGCCAGGCCAGCACTCTACGTGTGAGGTATATTCATTAATTTATTTTCTGAGAATCTCCCCAAATTACCAAGATTGGCCTTGCCATCCTCCTATCTCGGCCTCCGAGCAGTTTACATTTCAGGCATGGGCACAGTGCCTCAGAAGGCATTGATGTTTGAATTCTCTCAAGGTCTTCTACTTTATGTTTGAGAAAGGACACCTCCTCCCATGGCTACAGCAATAGAAATACAGGTTCCTCATGAACCTTGATCAGTCCCCAACACCCAGGGTTTCTACTTCTAGTATCCTGAGCACTGGCTGGGCATGTATGCCTTGTGGCTGGTTTTGTTTGATCTGAGAAGGTCTGTCCAGTCCCAGCTCCACAGGTGCTGCGACCTTGGGGACTGCTGTATGCCATCCCTGATACAGGCACAAGGGGGCATCATAGCCCTTTCTGAGGCATCCTGCAGGTTGTTTTGGCCAGGCCAGAATGAGTACAGGTCAGCAAGTAACCCTGGGAGAGGGAGCAAAATGCCTACACTCGCTGAGACTGGAATTTGGATTTGCCCTAAATTATAGTTCACCCTTCAGGTGCTGTCAGTTGGGGAAAAACAAATCACTTCTGACACTAAAGACAATCTCAAGACCCCATGGAGATCCTGTGCCCCAGGGGTCTGCACAGGCTATCTCTGTGTTCTGCTCCACCAGGTGGTGCCCCTAAACTCATGTTTACACTCAAACTTATAACCTGGTAACAAGTAAATTCAAGACTGACCTAAAAACCTCACTTAGCCTGAGTTGGAAGTTCCATAATTTCAAACAGCCAAAGGCCCTCATGTTTCAGGCTTTGTCCCTGTGATGACTAAATGTGAGATCTCCGTTTGGTCACTGGGACAAGTACATTCCAACAGAA